AGCATAATAATTCTTCTAGAAGTGATTAAACAAAAATCATACAATTAACCAAATGGAAAACCACATCCTAGGTTAGAAAAGCACAACAAAACAACCACTACCAACAACTACAAATTGGAAAAGTCTGAATATGGATGGACACAATTCATATATTTTTCCCAGAGAAACTTACTATCTCCATAATGTTAAAAAGCAAAACAAAGTGTTTACTTTTCCCACAATATTCTCCATCTCTCTCACTTGTCCCTGCTGGTGCTCCACCCATCTCTGGCTGTGGACAGCAGACCTCCTGTGAAGAAGAGGGGAAGTAACTAACCTGGGCAGAACCATGCATTCCCGGAGAATGCAACCAGCTGCTCAGAAAGACCTCTGTAAAGGGAGGCAAGGGAAGCATCTTCTAGGAGCTATCAGAGAGCCACCGAGAAGGGAGGGGAGAATTAAGTGGCATCTGCTGTCTCTCGTTTACAAGTCAACAAGTAAACACTCAGAGCCAAAAGGAAGGCATATCACCTCTTCTTACAAAATTCATCAATTTAGAAGCAACGTTTAAAAAGAAAAGCAGTCTTTTCACATAATGATCTTCTATAAGAAAGAGAAGAGGATAAATGGAGACTGAAAATACTTACGGATAAAAACAATCATCTGTAATAGAGTAGGAATTTTCTACATGAAAATTTCAGACTAGTTACCTTACATCACATATACAAAATTAATTGTTTGTATGTAAATATGTAAGTATGTATGTGGTACTGGTGATCAAACCCAGGGACGCGCTACCACTGAGCTGTATCTCCGGCTCTTTTCTATTTTGAGATAGGATCTCACAAAGTTGTCCAGGATGGATTCAAACTTGCTATCCTCCTGCCTCAGTTTCCCTTAGTCTTGGGATTACAGGTTACACTGAGCCTGGCTACAAAATTTTATTTCAAACAAAATGCTCCAGTAAAGAATTCTGTGGGTATCTCTTTATATCTGAGCATGTGGCCTCAAGAGGAATCAGATTCATTTTAAAAAATGGAATCCTGTCTAACACACTATGAGCTATGAACTTGAAAGCTTCATTGTGTTAAAGGAACAACAAATATATTCCTCAGAGTTAGTTATGAAAAAAGAAGAGACAGGGAACCATCTATTAAAATAGCATTCTGATCTTTATGAATTTATCTAATAAAAATTAAATGATTCTATTCATGAGAAAACACAGTCCAAATTCAATCAAATGTATAAACAGTAGGTTCTGAAATAGATCCACTATTGAAGAGGCCCTAAAGAACATAAACACACTGGGGGAAATTCTAATTTCTAGACGCCAGACACATGGCATAACAGTGCATTCACGAGAAAAGGAAGACACAAAGGTATTGTCCTCACTTCTGCAGTACAATCTTTGTCATCTACCTTCAGTCTTTTTTAACACAAAACATTGCTTATTCAAAACACAATGAATACCCAAATTACCAAGTTCATCCTCCAGCCCTAAACTCTGCAGCTACCAAGCCCTGTCCAAAAGCATTACTAATACAGCATTAAAAACTCACTGCACGTTTCCTTTCCCAGGAGTGTTGTAACAAATTACCACAAACTCATTGGCTTTTAAACAAGAAAAGTTTATTCTTTCACAGTTCTGGAGGGCAGAAGCCCAAAATTAAGTGTGTGCAGGGCTGGGCTCTCACAGAGGCTTCCAATGGAATCCCTCCCCACACCCTCTCTGGTGGCTGCTAGAAACCCTTGGGGTTTCACAGTTTATGGATGTGTCACTCCCCTCGCTCCATCTTCAAGGATCTCTATTTGCCTTTTCCTTCTTATAAGTATACTTCCTCACTGGGTTCAAATCCTCCTCCAATAATCCAGGATCATCTCCTCTCAAGCTCCTTTACTCTCATCCATCTGCAATGGCCCTTTTCCCAAGGTTCTAGGCTGACATATGCTGGGATGGGAGGAAGGATACACCAGTCAATCCACTATAGCCACTATCTCTCAAGTGTTAGTTAAATCTGAATTACCAATGAACGCCAATTTCTTAAAGAATTTCAGAAACATGTCATGCCATGCTTTTTCTCTATTTTGCTTTACTTCACATATCAGTTCTCACATCATTCTTTTCAAGTGGGCCTATTTCTTCCTAAATCTTTCCAGTGGTTTTCTTAGTCACTGTAAACAATGTAGGCATGCTAGAACAGGCAGACAGACATGAAATGCTTTGGCACTACAAGAACAGCCCTTTCCTAGGTTACCAAATAGAAGAGTCTTACACACTGATGGAGGCAGATTATGTTCAGTTCACTGTAACTTATGCTTTAGTTTCTATCAATAAACCCTAATTATTATATATTTATTAGTATATACTTATTATGTAAATACTGCATAATAAAGTTAAACACAATTTTAACCTATTCATATCCATCATATCTGTTGTGTTCAACAATAATTGTTACCTTGTTAGATGGTTATTTCATTCATATACTGATAAACGGTCACTTACATGTGAAAGTTACCAAGGAAGATTACTACACCATGCACAAAAGTCTATTTTTTGAAAGACTGACTTCACAAAATGCGAGCATCTCCAAATTCCCTGAATCAAAATAGCAAAAATTTCAAATTTATTGGATGATGCAAGATTTCATTAACAATGTTACAAAGGCACTTTCTTAACAGCTTTTTCCAAAAGCAGCAGCTCATTTATCTTTTTCGTGACAACAGGAAAAAAAGTACCTCTTTAGCTACAAATTCAAGCTGTTCACTTACCCCAACCTCTGCCCTGCTATACAGAAACAAGGGCCCACAGCCTGGAGGCTGCTATAATGTGAATGCGATTATCCCCCAAAGGCCCATCTGTAGAAGCCTGGGCCCCACCTAAGGTGCTACTGGAAGATGGGAGACTGTCTTGGAGTGAAGACCGGTGCAAAGGAGTAGGGCACCAGAGACATGTTCTTGAAGTACTACGAGGAGATCCCCTTCCTCCCTCTGTCTTAGCATCCCAGCTGCCATGAGGCCAGCAGTTTCCAATGCCACAGGCCCAAATGTCATGGAGCCAGCCAACCCAGACTGAAACCAAGAGCTAAAATAAAGCTTTCCTCCTTCTGAGGTACTTCGCTCAGGTATTCTGTCAGTGCCCTTTCTCCACCTCCGCTTGGAGTCTGACTGTGCACACAAAGCTCTAAGCTCAGTGAGGGAGCACATGTTCAAATGTATGCATAAAGGTTTCACAACAGCTATGTAACCATTAATAAAAAAGACCCAAATGTGACAACAATGTGGGCTGTAATTTAAAACTTCAGAACCAAAGCAGAAAACCACAGCTGGAAAAGAAAGTGACAGCCAGTACAACTCTACAGAAGGACTATGGCATGGGCATGCTTTGAACAGAGACTCTGCTAGAGAATCAAATAGTATGGGTTCACATGTTAGTTATCTGGTGTGGCATTAGCCTCTTCACCCATAATGTTGCCTTTCCTATTAAATTTTGCTTTATACCCTGCATCTGGGAACAAATCAAAGGTATTAAGAGATGAGTGTGAACAACTCACCTCCACCAGGAATAATCGCCAACTTTGTTTCAACTAGGCCCATTTTTGCAGAGGAAGCTAAAAAGTAACAAAGAAAATTAAGGAACATCCACATCATCACATTCCAATATGACAACTTGAGAAAGTTAGCAAAAGAAGATACACCAAAAATATGCTGCATACTAATTAAACTGTGTCACAAATTTTTTTTCCATACAAATATTTTTAAAAACAACTTGAAGAGATACTTACTTCTGAAAATAAACACTCTGAATGACATACATCAGAAGAATCACACAACATTTTCTGTTAAACAGTGCTTGGCAGTGAATTAGTTTTTGATGGTGGAAGACAAGACCTGTAACTACATTATTATACTTGATATTGTCAAGTCATATTTGAAGGCTTAGCTCCCCATTAATTATTCAGGATTGTGAGAGAGATTATGTTTGACAAAGATGAATTCTTTAAATGCCTGAATAGTGCCCTAGGATTGAACGACTTAATATATCATATCGGATATGGCAACTTCTCAAGACCAAGTCTCCAGTTACTTTCTGAAATATACTTTTATTGTGGTGATAGCTGAAAAGGGTTCCTCTGTTTGTGTTTGTTTTCATGGATACATTACTACACCTTAATTTTCTTTAGAAGTATATACAAATGTACTTATGACTACTTCCTCCATCCTTATTCCCAGAACACGCATTCTTTCAAAATGGATATATGTCCCTTAGCTTTTCAGTTTAAAACCTAAGCGGTCCCCATCACCAGAAAAAAAAAGGGTCCTAAAATAAAGCAGAAAGGAGGCAAAAGTACACATGAATAAGCAACTACAAATCCCAAGACACAGTCACATAAAATTATTCAAAGGTGAATTGTGTTAACTCTACTTTTAATATGCAGGCACAACAGAAGTGACAAGGGAACCAGGGAAAAACAGTGCCAACTCTGCTATCTACCCCCACTCCCCAGTTCTTAAGTCTCAGAGCCTAGCGACACAGGCAGCAGTGAGATATCACCCAATATGGTGTCCAGAACACTACACACGGAAGACCAGTACACACACTTGCTCCATAACACGTGAGGACTGGATCCCAGTTCAGGAACTAGTTCTGGGCTTGTAACTTCCCTTCCCTGTACTCCAGCTTCCTCCTGTATCCCAAGATACCATGATCAGGGGTTGCTAGGCAGACTGAGTAAGACTGACGTAAGACTGACGTACACATGTCTAGTGTACACCAGGTACCTGGTCAGCCACTCAGTAAGTGGTTAGCACTAACTGTTTTCACTATATCCGTAACTCCTCCTAAGAACTCAGAAAACCATTCAGGAAGAGAATGAATTCAAAGGGATTAAGTTTTTGTTACTACATCTGACAATCACTGAAGTACTAAGACTAGGCACATCCACAGGACAACTTTATGGGTTAACTTCACACAGCAAAAGCCATTTCCCCCATTTTAGAGAGAAGGAAAGTGATCTAAAAGGGCATGACCTAAGCTCCAAACTCAGTTCTTTCCCACCCAAATCCTGCTATCTCTAATTGCTAAGACTGAGTGAGAGACAACAAAAGACTGTTTTCTTAAAGAGAATTTTAAACAAATCATTAAGCCCAACAGGTAACTTTTTGAAAATGTTCTACAGGAAACAGAACAAAGTATCTGGAGTTATCTGTACAGTACATGCAGTCGTCATTTTTTTAAATTACAGTTTAATAGGATTAGTTCTCACCTGCCACTCGGATGTCACACGCTAAAGCCAGTTCAAGACCACCACCTATTGCCAGTCCGTCTATTGCTGCAATTGTTGGCACTGGAAGATTAGCTGAAATAGAAAGATATTTTATGCTCCTTCAATGAGATCATTACTATGTAATTCATTTTAATTTCTTTCTGTGACTATGTTTTTAAATGGGTATCACATAAGACTTTTGTACCTCTTTTATCTTTAATAAAATATAGGCATTTCCATCGTTATGCTTCCAAAACTAATGATTGTATAGCATTCTACCATACAAACTTGCAATGCTGCCTTTAAATCTCCCAATATTATTGAATATTTTCATAAATGCTGGTTGTTGAATTAACACAATCACATCTCACGGCCTAAAGTCTTTCATAAAATGTTCGATAGAAATTTCAAGTTCAAGTGACTTCTGCATTAACTGTGAAATCTGTCACCTCCTATGGGCTACTCTGGAGCTTAGAATGACAATTCTACACAGAGATGATTTGTGCACTGACCCACAAGTGCCTCCCCTTTGGAGAAGAACACTTGGCCCGGGCTGATATCTACCACATCATGAGTTTCCTGATACACAGCCTCTGAGAATCCATCCAGTAGCACACCTGGGGAGTAACACCAGCCACAAAACTCAAAAGTGGACCTGCCTGAATCCAGAAAGACGGAATTATTTTAAAGAGGTCTGTAAATTACGCAGTTTTATTTTTATAACGTGTTGAAACTGTGACTGATTATGTCAATTATTCTGTGAAACAGAAAGCATGCTTGCTTTATTTATTTACTTACGTACTTATTTGCTTGCGTGCGCTTTTGAAATATGGTCTCATTATTCACTTCAGGCTAGCCCTGAACTCATTATGAACCCCAGGATGGCCTTCAACTCACTGCAATTCTCCCAACTGCTGCGATAACAGGCATGCGCCACCATGCACAGCTTAATGTTATTTTTTTATTTTTTTTTAGTTCTTTTATTGGTACATTTTAGGTATACAATCTATTTACATTTATCATTGGGTGCTTGTACCTGTACATGATATATCTTGTTTCTTATTTTTTTCCCCATTACCTGTGCGCCCTTCACTCCCTCTGCCCTTCCCTATTTACACAGATTTCATTTCCTTTTTTTTTCTTTTCTCATAGTTTTTCCTTTCCCTCTTTTCCTTTCCCCTTCCCCTCCCTTCACTCCTTCATCTTTGGACCTTTTTTCCTATTTCAAATTTAATTTTATTTTTGACTATGGGAATATAAAGCTACGTTGACTGCTCCCAACACCAAGGAGGTAAAAATTCTGGATGGCCATACCACAGCCGCCAGTGCCAAGGACAGAGCTGCCCCCAGAAAAGAGGAGGTAAACCTTCCAGGCTGCTGTACCAATGCCCCTAGTGTCAAGCAGGTGAGCCCTGGAGGCACCAGCAACACACATCCCTCCCCCCTCTCTCCCCCACCATTGAAATGAGAAGACACGTAAATAAGTCTCAAACCCAGACTTCCAGATCACCTACAGCAACCCCAAAGGGAAGTGAGATGGAACACTCTGATACTCAACCACCTGGACTCCCTGAACTGGCAACAAAACAGGATAGGAAAAAATGAAATCAGAAATAATTTCCCAGATAACAGCAGAGATTGTGCCCATACTGCAAGACATGATTAATAAATCTAGAGAGGACACAGATAAAAAAACAAGAGGAGCTGAGGAACATGGTGGAATCCCAACATAGGAAACAAATAAAATCCATAAAACAGATGCAAACAGATTTCCAGGAGATTAAAATTTCCAGTTAAAGTTTACTCAGCAGAATGAGCCAACGTGAGGACAGAATTTCAGATATAGAAGGTAAGATTGCAGTTAGTGACCAGGAAAAGAAAAATTGTTGTAAAATAGTAAGGGACCACGAGAAATCAATCCAGCAGCTGCTAGACGATGCAAAGAAGAATAACATAACACTGATGGGAGTCAATGAAAAAACAGGAGAGAGTGAAGATGACATAAAAAAACTGTTCACAGAAATGACAGCAGAAAACTTCCCAAGCAGGGGAAAAGAACTTGACATACAGATAAGTGAGGCATATAAGACTCCAAATAGCATTAATCTAAAAAAATCTATGCATAGGCATATAATTGTTAAGATTCCAGGAACCCAACAGAAGAACAAAATTCTACAAGCAGTTAAGAGAAAAAAACAAATCACATACAAAGGAATGTCCATCAGAATTACAGCAGAATTCTCAACACAAACCATTAAGGTAAGAAGAGTTTGGAGGGATGTTATTTCAGGCCCTAAAGAAAAAGAGCCTCCAACCCAGACTGATGTACCCTGCAAAACTATCTTTCAAAATTGATGGAGATATAAGATACTTTCATGACGAAAAGAACGGCAGGAACTTCATGAATACCAAATCAGCACTCCAAAAAATTTTAGACAATGTCCTAGGAAAAGACAATGAGGATCACAACCCCAGGAAGCACAGCAGAATGAATCCACTGGGCACAACAAGAAATTAAAAGCTAAGGGGGAGAATCCAACAAAAAGAAAAAGTCATGACAATGATAAGTCAATACATATCAGTTATAACCATCAATGCTGATGTTCTCAATTCACCAATCAAAAGAAATAGACTGGCAAAATGGGTCAAGAAGCAAGATCCAAAAATATGCTGCATACCACAAAAACAATTAATTCAAAAAGAAGCTCACAGACTGAAAGTTAAAAGGTAGAAAACAATACTCCATATGACAGGAACCTAAAAAAAAAGCAGGAGTAGCTATCCTCTTTGCAGAGCAAATGGATTTTAAACCAATACTGATTAAGAGAGACAAAGAAGGACACTACATCCTTGTAAAGGGAACAGTTCAAGAGGAAGAGATGACAATCATAAACACACAAGCACCAAACACTAGTGCACCCAACTATATAAAACAAATACCAATGGACATGAAAAATCAAATAAGCACTAATAGAATAGTAGTGGGGGACCTCAATACCCCACTGTCACAAATAGACAGATCAACTAGATGAAAAATAAGCAACAAAATACTAGAACTTAATCAAACTCTTGAACAAAAGAAATTAACAGATGTTTAAAAAGTGTTCCACCCCACAAAACAGAATACACATTCTTTTCAGCTGCACACAGGTCGTTCTCCAAAATAGACCACATACTTGCTCACAGAACATGTTTAAGTAAGTGCAAAGGAACTGAAGATATCCCCTGTATATTATCAGACCATACTGCGATGAAATTGGAGATCAATAG